GAGCAGCCTATTACTCTGGGCGACGGGCCTTTCCCTGCTGGATAGAGTTGGCTTCTTCAGCTCCAGCAGCAGAGCTTTCATCCTCCACCACTCTCCCCCCCGTGACCATTCTCTGAAAGAAGCGGAAAGGGAGAGGCGACCGAAAGCTCCTGGGGGAAGGGACGATGACAAACGGGAGCGCAGGACACTGCTCCTGCAGTGGGCTCCTTCACTCTGCAGCGCGCACCCTCTTTCCTCCACCAGGCTGTCCAGCTCTGAGGCCGGCGATCTGCCCAACCGAGCCCCCAAATTCTCCCATCATCACCTCAAACTGTCCATCCCCCACGCCCCTTCGCTTCCGACAGGCAGAGCCCACCCCCCTCACCCCCAAGTCTGAGTATCCTTCTACCATGCCACCCGCCTTCCACCACCACTCACTGTCGGTGACTGGGCCCGGCCCTCATGGCTGCTCTATTGCCGCCACCACCGCTGCTGCACGACCCGGCCCCTCAATCACCGCCGCCACCGTCGGGACTCGCCGGCAGCCGTTCTTGCGCCTGCGCAGCCTGGAGTGCCGGGGCCCTCTCGGGTTGCCTGCGCCTGCGCAGCCCGCTCTGGGGGCGTCCTCCTGAGTGCCTGATGCCCTGGATCCCTGGGTCTCAAATGGATATGACCGCTGGCTTTGAGGACTTGTTAAGCTTAGAGGCTTTGGCGGCTGCCTCAGGGTCTGAGGCCTCTAGAATACCTTGCTTAGATTACTAAACGCGTGGATCTATAAGGGGCAATAGACTTAATGGCACTTCCAGGATTCTGAATCCCTCCTGCACCTAAAGGCCTGAATTCAGGTGCTCTGAAGTGACCACTGATAACAAATTGAGGTTTCTTTCAAGAAGACAAGCACATCTAGAATGCGTTGGAGATAACTGTGTAAGAGGCAATTTTGACATCCCAGAATACACTACTGGCCAGGAATACACTACTGGGGATCTTGCCTAGAAGGTGACTGCACCTAGAACTCACTGGGACACTGCTAAGTTCAGTCTGTTTTTCAGAAGCACACTGTTTATTGGATGAAAATGTCCTAGGCATCTCATATGTGCCACTGAAAGACTTTGCAGGCTGACAGTCTCCAACGTTACAGTTATCCCATCTACAATTCAGAGCTTGGGAGCTAGGGACCAATATATAATGTAACACATAAAAAAAAGGAAGAACAGAAAGTTCTATTTGTTCTGAGAAGGATGTTAAATTCACTCTACATCTGTTAATTCTACATCTGATCCCAGGATCTAATGTGAATCTTAATCCAAGATTAAGGAATGTTTTTCTCACTTTGGAAAGAAGCAAAAATGAGTCCTAGAGTAAAGGTTGAGAATGCTGAAAATGAAGTATCACAATGGTGCTGGAGGCAATACAGCCTGCTTGTCACTAATATTACTAAATCTTCTGTAAAAGGAGGCAGTAAGAATATATAAATGCACATAATGGAATTCTCAGGTTAGGCGCCAAGGATCAGTCCTAGAGGCTAGCTTCTGGTTTAGAAGAGTTGTCATGACTTACAAAAGTATTACCCTTTGGAATTTACTGAGTACCCACTATGTACAAGACACTGTTCTAGGTGCAGGAGATACAGTAGTGAACAACATATATACATTTCTTGTCTTCATAGAATTTACAGTCTAGTAGAGAACATAAAATAACAGCAAACACATAGCATTTACTATGTGCCAAGCCCTGTTCTACGCACTTTACACATATTTGTTCTTTTTTATTAGTAGTAAAAATTATTAGGATGACAACATATCAGTTCTTTTAACCACAACAACCCTATCAGGATACTATCATTAGCCTTATCTTTTTATTTTTAAATTCTTTATTATATACTTTACTCTTTTAAGTGGCCTTCTTCTCCCCAACCAATGATGACTCTTGTAGATTATGTCCATCCCTCTGTCCTCCTGCTTGAATCACACAGCACAGAAATTATCTTGGAAATTTCATTATTTTTATTGGGTGGATCTCTATCTATCAATCTCATCATCCCTGTTTTTAAATATAAGGAAACTGAAGTAGAGAAAAGTTACTTGCCCTAGGTCACACAATAAATAATGAAGCTGAGAATCAAACCCAGGATGTCCGGCTCAAAAATCTGTGTGCTCAGTCACCGTGTTATAAACTGCCCATTATAGGAGGGAAAAAAAGGGTCCTATGAGTGAATTTAACCGGACTTGGAAGAAACAGTCTATGTGAAAGCCTAGAAGTGATAGAGAATACCAGGTAATTTGGGGGACTGAAAAAATTCAACTGAGCTGAAAAAAATTCAGTTGAGTGAGCCTAGAAAAAGATGGGACTGTCAAAGGAAGCTGGAGACATGTTAATTACTTTGTATTTTATTCTGAGGGCAGTGAAGCAAGGGAGTGACTTGGTCAGTTTGGGGCCATCAGAAGGTTGGTAAGATCAAAGCCCCTGAAGATCCCTGAGGAGCCTCTTACAGCATTCCAGGCACTGCAACAGGATCACTGTATGTAGTGATAAATGTTATGAGGAAAAGCCTCTCTGAGGAAGTTACATTTAATCTGAGACCTGACTGGGGAAGCAGAAGCCAAATTTAGAACACAGGAGGCAGGAGTAACAGGTATAAAGACTCTGAGGTACAAATGGGCTTAGTATATTCAGGAGATGGAAAGAAAGTCAATGTGACTGAAGCCTTGGGAGAAGTAAGCAGGATCAATACATGCAAGGACTTTGGATTAATCTGGTTGGAACAGGAGGCCATTGAAGGACTTCTCCCTCCAATTCTATCCCTTATCATCTCCTTCCGATTCTATCCCCTTAAATCTCTGGAATTCATCTGCTTCTCTCCACCATTGTCACTGCACTATTTTACTAAGATAGAATGACACCTTGTTGGAAAAGGACTGGGGGTCAGGGAAGATTATTTTGCTTTTCAAATGGAAGAGACTAAACATATTTTAAAATAAATGCTGATGAGAGGAAAATAGTACAGAGAGAGATTGTCTACAGAGAAGAAAGGTTAATTCATGGAACAAGGTTTCCTAAAGGGCAAAACAAGTAGCTTTAAGGTAGGAACGTTTATTGAGAGCCTATATTGTTCTAAGTCCTAGATTCAAATGAACATATATATTTATTATCATCTTCATTTTACAGATGAGGAAACTGACACTTGGAGAGTTTAAATAACTCATTCAAACACACAACTAGTGGCAAACTGAGATGTGAACTCAGGCAGTCTATTTCATTTGACTAGCCATTCCTAATCTCACAAAATACAAAATTCCCCTACAATATCCTATGACGGAAAATTTCTGGGAAAGAAGAGAATTAAAAAGGCACTTTGACTCATTTTCTCTAATTTTTTTGTGTGTCATTCCTGGGATTCTTCCAGTGTTATCTGTTGCCAGAACTGTAGTATTTAGTATGTGTTCCTTGGGTGATTTTGAATTTATGTAATTAAGCTCCTCATCACTGTTTAACCTAAAACTTCCCTTCATCTTATTGTAGTTGAAATGGCATTTTGCTGAACTGTCCATGAAAGATTCATATTTTTCTGATTGCTGGCTGTCCTGTATTTAGTGGCATCTTGTTCTTTGGGCATATGGGGTGCCCAAAGAACATCCAGAATATCATGTTCCAAAAAGGCTGTTCCTTCCACTAACAGAGCAGGCAGTATGAAAGCTGGAGCCTGGCGCCATTTGCAAACCATCAGTGCATTTGGTTGCTTGGGCTCTGTCAATCCTGTGTCACTCAGAGCTTCTCTGGATACTCCACCTCTATCCAATGGCAGCCTGGCCAGTTGGTTCTCACCATCTCTCAACAATTCTCCCTCTCTCTCCTATATCATCACCTTTTTCCTCTCTACTGGGTCATTGCCATTGACAACAAAATCTATTTTAAAAATGATCTCTTAACCCCACTCCTCTCTCCTCTTCTTCTGTTACCACTCCCTTTTGTACTGCTCCCCTAGGAAGAGTCGTATACGTATTCTGCTTATCCTTAATTCCTTTCCTCTCTCTTAAACCCACTCCATTTAGGCTTCCACCCAGATCACTTTACTGAAACTGTTCCTGTCAGATCACTAACATTTCTCTCTCTTTCTCTCTCTCTCTCACACACACACACAGCCACCAGGACACAAATGATAAAGAATTTTGTCCGTTTTGTTCACTGATATATCTGCAGCACCCTGACAGGGCTGTACATAGTATGTGCTTAATGAATTCCCACCCGCTCCAATTTCCACATTTCTCTCTCAATTTCAAGAGTTTAAGAGGCTTCAAAGAATGAAGAGGACCCTAGGCCACAAATCGGCTGAGGTAAATCAAGTTCCACAGGACTTGGGAGATCCTAAGTGACTAAACAGCATTTTTCCCTTTGCAGACCCTCTGCTTTTCCTCCAGAAAGGAATGACCTCCGGGGTGAGACAGGTTTACAAGAGGGAAATCTGGGTCAGCTGTTCATCGGGAACACCTACTCACGACCCACGGACCACTCTTCACAGGATGCTCGCATAAAGTAAAAATGCAGATCGCCAAAGGCGGTTGCCGACTGCTAGCCAAGCCAAAGTAGGACTTGGGAGAGGATCCTGCAAGTCCGAGGCTGGAGAGGACTAAAAGAACCCTTATGGGGACCAACGGAATAGTGCACGATCCCACCCCCACGACCATTACTCCTTCGACACGCCGGTTTCTCCAGCTGGGTGAAATCAGAAGCTAAGAGAACGATTTCTGCCGCTTGGCCTCGTGGGAGATGTAGTCTTTCAGGAGGCAGGGCTAGAGAGGCGTTTTACAAAAATTTAGCAGAAGAAAACAGGATCTGTACAGGATTCCAAAGCAATCGTCATGCTCATACACTCTAAATACTCATTTTCCCATTTCCTTGGCCTCGGCCAGTCTTTAGAATAGTTACTGTCGCATGCCGCCTCCAACGTCACCTCCCGTCTCTCTCTGTTTGGACCACACTACCTCTTTCCGGCTCGCTCGCCCTTCCGCCGCTCAGTCCAATGGTAGATGCGTTCCCGGTCAGTTCCCGGAGTGCCTTGCGGCTGTGATGGCTGCCACCGGCTGCCCCGGGGCTGCGCTTTCTCGAGTGTTCTTAGGGTTTTGGCAGACGGGCCCTGTCGCCGCAAGGGAGTGGGCAACCCGGTTCCCATCGCTCTTGGGCTGTCAGCGGAGGTGCGTGACCTGTGTAGCGGGCGCCGCTTTCTCTGGTCCGCTCCTAGCCTCGGCTTCTAGGCGTTATGGCCAGAACTCAGCCTTGGACCGCTTCCTCGGACTCTCTCAGCCCGACAGTTCGTTGACTTCTCGCATT